CCAATAAATGGAAACACATCCATGCTCATGGATAGGAAGAATTAATATTGTCAAAATGGCCATCCTGCCTAAGCAATCCACAAATTCCATGCAATTCCTATCAAAATACCAACAGCATTCTTCAATGAACTAGAGCAAATCATTCTAAAATTCATATGGAATGACAAAAGACCCCAAATAGCTGAAGCAACCTGAGAAGAATAAAGCTGGGGAGATTATGCTCTCAAACTTCAAGCTCTACTACAAAGGCACAGTAATAAAGACAATTTGGTACTGTCACAAGAACAGAACCAAAGACCAATGGAACAGACTAGAGAGCCCTGACATAAATCCAACCATATATGGTCAATGAATATATGATAAAGGAGCCATGGACATACAATGGAGAAATGACAGACTCTTCAACAGCTGGTGTTGGCAAAACTGGACAGCTACATGCAAGAGAATGAAACTGGATTATTGTTTAACCCCATTCACAAAAGTAAACTCAAAATGGATTAAAGGCTTGAATGTAAGTCATGAAACCATAAAACTCTTAGAAGACAACATAGGCAAACATCTCCTGAATATAAGCATGAGCATTTCCTGAACACATCTCCTCAAGAAAGGGAAACAAAAGCAAAAATGAACTCATGGGACTACATCAAACTAAAAAGTTTTTGCATGGCAAAGAATATCAATAACAAAACAAAAAGGCATCCTACAGTATGGGAGAATATATTTGTAAATGACATACCGGACAAGGGGTTAACATCCAAAATATATAAAGAACTCATGTGCCTCAACACCCAAAAAGCAAATAATCTGATTAAAAAATGGGCAGAGGATATGAAGGGACAATTCTCCAAAGAAGAAATTCAGATGGCCAGCAGACACCTGAAAAGATGCTCCACATCACTAATCATCAGGGAAATGCAAATTAAAACTACAATGAGATATCACCTCATACCAGTAAGGATGGCCAACATCAGAAAGACTAAGAACAACAAATGCTGGTGAGGATGCAGAGAAAAGGTAACTCTCCTACACTGCTGGTGGGAATGTAAGCTAGTTAAACCATTGTGGAAAGCAATATGGAGGTTCCTCAAAAAACTAAAAATAGAAATACCAATTGACCCAGGAATCCCACTCCTTGGAATTTACCCAAAGAATACAACTTCTCAGACTCAAAAAGACATGCACCCCTATGTTTATTGCAGCACTATTTACAATAGCCAAGATATGTAAGCAACCTAAGTGTCCATCAGTAAATGAATGGATAAAGATGTGGTACATATACGCAATGGAATACTATTCAGCCATAAGAAAGAAACAAATCCTACCATTTGCAACAACATTGATAGAGCTGGAGGGTATTATGCTCAGTGAAATAAGTGAGAGGGAGAAAGACAAGTACCAAATGATTTCCCTCATTTGTGCAGTATAACAACAAAGCAAAACTGAAGCAACAAAACAGCAGCAGATTCACAAGCTCCAAAAAGGGACTAGCAGTTACCAAAGTGGAGGAGTGAGGGAGGGCAGGTGGGGAGGGAGGGTAGCTGGGGATTGAAGGGTGTTATGCTTAGTACACATGGTGTGGGGTGTCATGGGGAAAACAGTGTAGCACAGAGAAGGCAAACAGTGAGTCTGTGGCATCTTACTACACTGATGGACAATGACTGCACTGGGGTATGGGGGGACTTGATAATATGGGTAAATGTAGTAACCACATTGTTTTCTCATGTGAAACCTTCATGAGAGTGTATATGAATAATGCCTTAATAAAAATTATTTTAAATAAAGGAAATTAAGTAACTTTTTCCAAAGTCACCCAGAAAGTATGAGGCAATATTCAAAGACAGCCTTACCTGACTTCAAGCTCAACCATTGAAAGTTTTTACTTCTGATTCATTGCCCAGTGTCACAAGCAAGAAAAGTACAGTTCTCATTCCTTGTTATTGATAGAAGTTATGATCTATAAATATCACATTGTATATCAACAATATTTCAGTTAAAAAAACAAATTTATAAACACATAATTTGGACCCCCACACTTCTAATACTGGAAATAAAGATTTTTCATTCAGTGTTTGCTGCATAGATAATAGTCAGAGACACTCTCAAGCTGGGAAAGGAGAAACCCTTATTTCTGAGGCAGGCTCCTTCTAAGGAGCAGCCCCTTGATTATCATAAACAGAATGCACAAATAGAGAAATTATGTAAAGTTTGTCTCAGTAATTTCACTTCAAGGAACCAAAATAAATCCTTTTCTACCACGCCACTCTTTGTGGATATGGAATGGTGCACAAATCCCAAGCTACCACTTCTCTTCCTAGCAACCCTTAACCACCCCAAGCCCTACCCCAGTGGGGAGAGTGAGGAACAAAAATTTTCATTAAACTGAAGAGAAATAGTATCTCAATCATCACCATATGCTAATTTAAATCTTTTCTCACTTCTCCAAAGAATGTGAAGTTGTTCCCCACATGTCTCTTCTGGAAATCCCCATCTTTCTTTGTTTTATTGTCTATAGTCTGCCCTGAATTACTTTCTACCTACCTGGTTGTTCCTTCTCTTTACTTTTCACAGACTTCTCTTTCTCCACCCAACCTTGAAATGTTGGGTCTTCCTCTACTCATCCTCTTCTTTCTCTTTCTTCTTTATGCGGATGAGTTCCAAAGCATGTCTGTAGCTTTGACCTCTCTGATGGGCTCTAGATCCCTTGTATACAACTAAAACCTCCCCATCTGGGTGTCCTGTAGAGATGCTCCATCAATTCCCCAATAACCTTCTCCTCCTATAAAGCCACTCCTTTAGTGAAACAGAGAAGGCAGAAAACTAGCAATCATCTTTGAGGGTTTTTTCCTTCTTTATTCATCTCCCTTTCACATTCAATCCAACTGAATTTACCAAATTCAGTAAATTCTACTCCCAAACATTCCTCAGATCTTCTCTTCCTCTTCACCCACATTGTCACTATCATATTTGGAGCTCATCTCTTCTCACATAAATTACTTTTGAAAAAAAAACCTGGTTTCCCTGCCTCTAATATTGATTATTTCAAACCTAATCTCTGTACAACCTCCAAAGTGATATGTTTAAAAATCAAATATGATTTTAGCCTTATTCATGAAATCCTCAAAGTTTTCCTATAGATTTATGGATAAAATCCAATCCTTTAAGTGTCTATATAATGGTTCCACACAAGGACCCTACTCACCTCTCTACTGCCATCCAAGATCACTCCTCAGTTTCCACTCTGGGTTTCAATCTCACCGAAATAATGTGTCATTTCCAGTATGCACACATGCCCTTCCCAATGCCTGAAATAGGGTTTTCTTCCATCACTGCTGACTGACACTTATCCAGCATGAACATCTTCCCCAGGATGCTACAGCTCATCCCATCAGTCAAGTTTAGGTGCCACCCCCTTATTCTTTTAGTGTCTATACTTTGCTTCTTCATAACATGCTTGATTGATTGCTAACAAGTTTATCATTTTGACTAGAATTTTAGACCCTTGAAGACAAAATAAAATGGTACTAAGAAACAGTAGACCATATTCGTTCAAAGCACCAAATTTGGAATGAAATAAACTTGGATTTTAATCCTGAAACTTCCACATAAAAATTGTGTGTGGTTGGAGGGGGACAGGCAGGTTCACCTCTTTAAACTCCAGTCTTGGTATCTGTAAAATATATTCAGTAATATCCTCTTTTTATAGTTTTTAAGAAATTAAAATAATATAGTATATAGTGAGGCTTTAACAAAGTGCCTGAAATATGAAAAAATGACATCATTTTACCCATTTTTGCCCAACTGGTAACTGGTACATTGTAGATATTTAAAAGGTATAGACATGTACTACTACTGCCCCCTTGTTGATGTCTTAAAGCAATGAAACTTAATGAGATCCTGAAGCAATGGCAAGCAGAGAACCAGACGAGCCTTCAGAATCTTAATACATTTTATGGATCCTAGAATGACTGAATGATTGCCGCCATTAGTGAGAAGCCATACAAAGTCTCAAACTCAGCTTTAAGGAATATAGTTTCATGAAGGTCTGTGCTTTTATCCTATAATAAATAGTTTCCTGCTAGCTCAGTCCCTCTCTAGTCACCCTAAAAATCTATATCCCATTGTATGTAACATATGGCTTCTCAAGCATAAGAAAAATAACCCCTCAAATATAATCTTCACTCCCAATTCAAAGATACTGTCCTTGAGGCCCTAAACCACGGACATTGTCTTCTTATAGACACTTGATGTGATCTCTACACTCATCATTTACCCTTGGGAAATTTCCAAATGGCTCTATACCCTACTGATACCAAGCACCAGGGATAACTGATATGTGCCACCAGGGAATATAACACGTGAAAAAGTTGAAGATATCTGCTCTAAATAACTGAACAAACGTTACAAAAGGAAATGTAGGTCAACTGCAAATTTCCCTATCTATGGATAAAGAAATATGATTAGATTAGAGAGCTATGAAGAATTGCTATACAGAAATAAAGAAAAGAAAGCTGATTCTTCTGATTTGAGATCTTTATCCTTTAAGTTCCACTCAGTCTGTTTAAATAACCCCTCTGAAGGCGATTGAGAAAGTTTGTGAAATAAATAAAATAAATGCATTGGTAATATCCTCCAATGTGTTCTCTATGCCTTAGCAAAAAAAATTAAAAATTCTAAAAACCCACCTATAGGGATGAAACTTTTCATACAGAATGAGACTGGAGGTCTAGGACAATTGATTTAATACCTGTAAAACTAAATTTTGGAGTGCAGCCAGAGGTGAGTTCTTCAGTTGTCCATAAACAGCAGGAGCTCAGATTCATTAGCTCAGGAGCCATCTGAAGGGAAAAGGAAATCCAGCTGAATGACTTCTAAACACCTCTGGGTTGAAGAATGAATCATGTTTGCTTATGCATTTATGCCTATTATCTAAGATAAAACCCACCAAATAACAATGCATTTCATACCTCATTGATGCAACATCTTCTTCTGCTTGGCTACTGGTTTTTCACAATCTAATTGGCCAACATGAAATAAATTTCCATCTTGAAAGCCAAGTTTCACAAAAGAAAGAACATTTATAGCTGCTCTTCATATTTGCCTTTATACTTCATAAAAGAAAAGAAAATATCTCATATATCATCCAATTTAATTTTTGCCTTGGTCAGAAATTGCTTAGTGGTGAGGAAAAGAGTTTTCTATGGTAAGAACAAATAAAAGTTTTATTAGAAGACTACAAAATAAAAAACTCAAAGATATTCATATTGAGAAACGACTTACAGCAGGGCCTCTTTAGAGACAGACTAGGAACTGGAAATAAAGAAACTAAGGTCATCTCTCTTGGCAGCATGATTTCCCATCTCCTTCTCTCTAAAAAACTTTACCTACTGATTCATGGCCTAATCCATTGTGCCCAGTTTTCACTGGACATGAGTAATTGCCAGAAGTCATGCCAAGTTTACAGGAAGATAGCTGTATCTGGCCATTTTCTCTAAAAGAAAGGTATAAGTATGATAGGTCGTTGGAACTTTATGAGCTCCTCCAAGAAAGGAGAATCAACGTTATAGTCAGCAAAGTCAATCCACAGTTGGCCTTTTCCAATGAGCTAATGAGGAATGAAGTGTTTCCTGGAACACTAAAGAGTGATAGGAAAATATCTCTTTATGAGGGCATTGAACCATAAGAAAACACTGTTTTGTGGTCAAAAATGGTCATTTTTTTATCAGCAATTTTATGTGGTCCAACTTAATAAACACAGTATAAACAGACAAGTCATCCTGATTATTACTAATCAAGATGGAAAAGTATTATCAATGTATTTATGTATGTATTTGAATTAAATCATTCTGATTTTCACCTCATATGTTTGTTTCTTTGCAGCACACCTGTAACAATCCTTTTATTCATTAAAAGAGATTTTTCTCAATTTCCTGAGTCTATATTTCTCTTCCACTTAGTCAAAAATATCCATAATTCCTGGTTATAGGACCATCAGAGGCTATTTCCTCTTAATCACATTTCACTCAAAACTAGCTGGTTTATTTTTCCAAAACAAAAATATAAGTTCAGAAATAAGTATAATTACTGGGAATACAGTTGTCTGATATAATCCAGTAACAAAAAAGGGGGAGATGTACATAGTCACATGGTTCTTGTTATTCCCTGAGCATAAGAAACAGAGAGGTCTAAAATACAGTATGGAAGAGTAAAAAAAGGAATGATTTGGTTTCAGTACACAGTTTTTCCACCTACTAGTTTTGGAATCTTCAACATGTAGATGAACCAACTGAATCTCTATGACTGCACATATAAATTAAGGAATGAAAGTACCTCTGAACAGAGTTGATGTGAGCATTGATTGAGACCCTGCATTTATTTGGCAATCTCCCGTTATACCCCAACATTTCACTAGGACAGAGATACAATATAAGGACACAGAAAGTCACAGTCCTTTTCAGTTATTTTGGTGCTTATGATCTGGTGGGGACACAGACAATAATCAATGGATCACATTAATAAATCCTAGTTATAATATATTCTCCGAAGGCTAAAAATGCTCTGAGAATATGGAGAGGGGATTCAGGCAGAGGGAATATTTCCTATGGCCAGAAGGCATGTGATTGGAACAAAACTATGACAAAAGAGCAGACCTGTGTGACTAAAGGAAGACAAGCCTGGTGTGAAATAGGTCTGGAATGATAGTTAGGATCCTGGAGTTACAATCTTGTCTTAGATTTTTATAAGACAAGGATTTTTTAACTTTATCCCATGAACATGGGAAACCATTGAATATTTTGGAAGAAAAATGATATGATGATATTTGAAATTCAAAAATACCAGCCTAGCTACAGAGTAAGAAATTAGAAAAGGGTCAAAAAGGGATGCAGGTATCCAAGTGAGAAATGATGGTAGCCTCAGATTAAGTGGAATAGAACTGGTAAATATTGATATTGAATTGGATTTGGTGAATAAAGAAGAGGGATAAGGGATAACTCATAAGTTTCTGCTTTGTAAGATGCAACTTGAGAACACTGAGAAAGAACAAGGTGTATGTGATGGGGTCCTGTGAATATGTTTAGGATATATTGAATATGAGATATTTCTAAGACATACAGTGGAAATAATCAAGTAGGCATTTGATTATTCATATCTGGAGCTCACTGGAAAAGTCTGGACTACAGATACAAATTTGTGAGTCATGTGCAGTATCTGTGGTAACTAAGGCCTTGCTCAAGTGTGTATGGGAGGTTCTAGGAAGAGAACACAGAACAAGAAGAAGACCAAGATGAGAGGATCTGGGGAAAAGATGGCAGAGTACAAAGGCAAGGCAGAAACCTCCTCCCACATTCACACCAAGGAAGCAACTACAGCATATACCACTAAGCCTGAAAAATGACCTGAAGACTGAAAACAGACCATCTACACCTGGTGAAGAAGACCGCAAAGAGAATGGTAAAGTGGCACAGCCATGATAGGAGGTACTCAAGCCCTTCCCCCACTTCAATCCACAAGTGGGAGGAAGAGGAATGGATGGGAAGAGGATAAGCACTCAGGAATCCTGTAGACCTGGCCCTAGAGATCTGCTCTGGGAACATCCATCCACATTGCATTGGGCTTTGGTGATTAACAAGGCTGGACACCAGGGAAAGTTGGAGTACTCTCAGAGACTGAGACTTCTGTCACTTGTGGAGGACAGGAACACTCTGTCAGTCCCACTGAGACCCAACACAGAGGCAGCAGTTTGAAAGATTTACCAGCAGGGGGAAGGGTGCCAGAGAGGTAGGGGTTGGAGAGAGTTCTCTCAAGAAAAGAAAGAGCAGGTATACAATGCTCCCCCAGCCCCTCCTCAGCCCTCAGTTGGTCATTCAAAGGAGCCATTCCAGAACAGTCCATTCTTCTTACTGGCAGCTCAGCCTCTTCCTTGTGCATCTATCAACCTTGCACCAATCACTCTCAGCCCAGCAGTGATCATATTTTGCTGCCTGGCAGGTTAAGGGAGCTTTTGCTGCCTGAAAGGCAGAGGAAGGCTTTCTCAGCTTTCCTAGCACTCTTTAAGCTCCGTAAGAGCCAGCTCCAAACACTACTTCACTGCCTGGAAGGCAGAGGGCAGCTCCTCCCACAATGATCCCAGCAGAAGCACTGCTGCATGGCTCACAAAGGCACAGAGAGAACCGTCAGTCACTGCTGACAGAGATCAGCCACTGCCAGCAGACAGGTAAAAAGGTAGCCCCATTCATAGACCATCAACAGCAACAGTGGCTCCACTGCAAAGGACCAAGCACTGGGGAGTGAAGAGTCTTGAGCTTCTGAGCACCACAGGTGCCTTCTTCATAAAGTTATTACTTTCTAGACCAGGAGGCAGACCTGATCATCCAATACAAAGGAAAAAACACAGAAACCCAGACAAAATGAGGAGGCAAAGGAAAATATGTTCCAAGCAAAAGTACAGGATAAGACACCAGAAAGAGGGCCAAAGGAAACAAAGATCATGGGTCTTCTTGTTAGAGATGTCAAAGTAACAGTCATAAATATGCTTACTGACCTGAGGGAAAGATTTATTATCTCAATGATAATTTCAACAAAGAGATAGAAGATTTGAAGAAAAGCCACTCCAAGCTGAAGAATACAGTAACTGAAATGAAAACTACAATGGAGGGAATAAATAATAGATGCTGCAAGTACAGAAGACAATTAATGAGAAGGAAATTAGGGAATAGGAAGACAACAAAGCTGAGGAACGCAGAGAAAAAGAATCTCTAGAAACAAGAGGATGCTAAGAGAGATGTGTGACAACTCCAAAAGAAACAATATTGACATAATAGGGGTGAAGGAGAAGAGAGAGAAAAAGGAGTAGAAAATCTTTTTGAAGATTTTCTCCCCAGTGCCTGATTCTCCTTTGCAGTGGAGCCACTGTTGCTGTTAACAGGCTATGAATGCGGCCACCTTTCTGCCTGTCTGCTGACAGTGGCTGATCTCTGTCAGCAGTGACTGAAAGCTCCCTTTGTGCCCTTTGTGAGCCATGCAGCAGTGCTTCTGTTGGGATCATTGTGGGAGGGGCTGTCCTCTGCCTTCCAGGCAGTGAAGTAGTGTTTGGAGCTGGCTCTTGCAGATCCCTCACCAAATAGGCTGAAAGAGTGTTAGGAAATAATTGCTGAAAACCTCCAGAAGTAGAAAAGAAAGGAGAAGGAAATAGACACCAGTTCCTGGAAGTGCAGAGAGGGTCCCTAAAAAAAGGAACCCCAGGAAGACCAAGACATAATAATTAAAATGACAAAGATTAAGGATAAAGAGAGGGTATTGAAAGCAGCTAGAGAGAGGCAAAATTAATTATAAGGGAAACCCATCACCTATTGGCAGATTTCTCAGCAGAAACTTTACAGGCTAGAAGGGAGTAGCATGAAATATTTTATGTATTGAAACAGAAGGACCATCAACCAATAATCCTTTACCCAACCAGAAAATCATTCAGAATTGAAGGAGAGATTAAAAGTTTCCCAGGCAAATGAAAGTTAAAAGAATTCACCACCACTAAACTGGCCTTACAGGATATTTTAAAAGGACTTCTGCAGAAGAAAATGTTCTTAAGCCTAAGTATTTTTCATCAGTGAAAATAAACTCATAGTAAATGTATTAGACCAAGTACTATGCAAGCATGAAGTTAAAAAATAAAATAATAAAATCAACTATAGACAATATCAAACAAGGGATATACAAAAAAATGTAGAAAATGGCATCTAATACATAAAGTGTGGAGGAGGAAGAAAAAAAGTAGTACTTTAAAATAGTGTTCCAAATAGAGTGAACATCAACTTCCAATAAACTGTCATACATTTAGGAAACTATCTATGAACCTTATGGTAACCAAACATCTAAAGTCTATAACAGATGCAATACACACAAAAAATCTTTAAAAAGAAATCCAAGCACAACACTAAAGAAAACCATCAAATAACAAGAGAAGAGTATAAGAAAGGACAATAGGAACATGGAGGAACTACAAAACTAATCAGAAAACAATAAAATGGCAATAAGTACACACTTACCAATAACTACCAAAATGTAAATGGACTGAATGCACCAATCAAAAGACATAAGGTGGCATAATGGATAAAGAAACAAGACCTGTTGATATGCTGCCTACAAGAGACTCATCTCAGACCTAAAGACATATAAAGACTGAAACTGAAAGGATGGAAGAAGATACTTCATGCAAATAAATAGGAGAAAAAGCAGGAGTAGCAGTACTTATATCAGAGCAAGTAGACTTCAAAACAATGAAAACAACAAGAGATAAAGAAGGACATTTCATAATGATAGAGGGATCAGTCCAACAAGAAAATGTAACAATTATAAATATCTATGCACCCAAGATGGAAGCACCTGAATATGTAAAACATTAACAGAACTAAATGGAGAAATAGACTACAACTCAATCATATCAAGGGACTTTGATATACCACTTACATCAATGGAGAGATCAATCAGAGAGAAAATAAATAAGGAAACAGAGGCACTGAACAACACACTAGGTCAGATGAACTTAACAGATATATGCAGAACAGATATATTCTACCCAGAAGCATAAGGATATACACTTTTCTCAAGTTCCTACAGAATGTTCTCTAGAATAGATCACATATTAGGACACAAAAAGAGCTTTAAAAAATTCACAAAGAGTGAAATTGGATCAATCACCTTCTCTGATCACAGTTATATGAAACTAAAAATAAATTACACAAAAAAAAAATTCACAAACACATGCAGGTTAAACAACATGCTTCTAAATAATCAATGGATCAATGAAAAAATCATCAAGGAAATCAAGGAATACATGGAAACTATTGAAAACAAAAATACAGCAGTTCAAGATATGTGGGATGTTGCAAAAGTGGTTCTAGGAGAGATGTGCATAGTAATACAGGCCTACCTCAAGAAACAAGAACAATCCCAAATAAAGAGTCTAAACTCACAACTAAAGAAACTAGAAAAAGAAGAACAAATGAAACTGAAAGTTATTAGAAGGGACATAGTAAATATCAAGGAATAAAGAAATAAAGTAGAAAAAATAAAATAGAAAAAAAATCATTGAAACCCAGAGCTGGTTCTTTGAGAAATAAGCAAAATAAACAAATCACTAGCCAGACTTATCAAGAAAAAAAGACAGGACACATAAAATTAGAAATCAAAATGGAAAAGTTACAACCAACATCACAGAAATGCAAAGAATTATTTGACAATTCTATGAAAAATTATGTGCCTATTAACTGGACAACCTAGAAGAGATGAACAAATTCTTAGAAAAGTACAATCTTCCAAGACTGACCCAGGAAGAAATAGAAGATCTGAACAGACTAATTACCAGTAATGAAATTGAATTGGCAATCAAAAATCCCAACAAACAATACCCAATACCAGATGACTTCACAGCTGAATTCTACCAACATTTAAAGAAGGGCTAATAAAAACTGAAGGAACAAAATAGCAGCAGACTCACAGACTCCAAGAAGGGACTGTGGTTACCAAAGGGGAGGGGAAGGGAGAGGTGGGGGAGGGTGGGTAGGGAGGGAGGGAGAAGGGGATTGTGGGGTATCATGATTAGTGCACATGGTGTGTGGGGGGTCACAGGGAAAACAGTGTAGCTCAGAGAAGACAAGTAGGGACTCTATGGCATCTTACTACACTGATGTACAGTTACTGCAATGGGGTATGGGGGGGACTTGACAATAAAGGTGGATGTAGTAACCACATTGTTTTTCTTGTGAAACCTTCATAAGAGTTTATATCAATGATACTTTAATAAAAAAATAAAATAAAGAAAGGCTAATACCCATCCTTCTTAAGGTATTCCAAAAAGCAGAAGAGGATGGAATACTTCCAAATCATTCAATGAGGCCAGTACCACTCTAATACCAACACCAGATAAAGACACTAAACAAAAGGAAATTATATGCCAATATTCCAGATGAACATAGATGTGAATATCCTCAACAAAATATTAGTAAACTGAATTAAAAATACATCAAAAGGATCATCCATCACAACCAAGTGGGATTTATTACAAGGATGCAAGAATCGGACAATATTCATAAATCAATCAATACCATACACCACATTAACTAAGGAAGGATAAAAATGATATGACCATCTCAATAGATGCTGAAAAATCATATGACAAAATACAACATCTATTCATGATAAAAACCCTCAACAAAATGGTTATGGAGGGAATATATCTCAACATAATAAAGGCCACATGCAACAAAGCCACAGATAACATCATACTCAATGGCAAAAAGCTAAAAGACTTTCCTTTAAGATCAGAAACAGGACAAGGATGTCCATTCTCACTACTTTTATTCAACACAGTACTGGAAGTCCTATTCAGAACAATCAGACAAGATAAAGAGACAAAAGACATCCAAATTGGTAAGAAAGAAGTTAAACTGTCACTATTGCAGATTACATGACACTATACATAGAAAACCCTAAACACTCCACCAAAAAACTATTAAAACTAATAACTGGATTCAACAAAGTTACAGGATACAAAATTAATAGACAGAAATCTGTTGTGCTCCTATATACTAACAGACAGAGAGATCAGGAAAACAATTCCATTTACAATTGCATCAAAAAGAACAAAATACATACGAATAAACCTAACCAACGAGGTGAAAGACCTGTACTTTGAAAACTGAGACACTCATGAGAGAATTAAAGGAGACACAAATAAATGGAAATCTATCCCTTGCTCATGGATAGGAAGAATTAATATTGTCAAAATGGCCATTCTGCCCAAAGCAACTTATGATACAGCACAATTCCTATCAAAATACCAATGGAAGTTCTCAGTGAAATAGAGCAAATAATCCTAAAATTCATATGGAACCACATAAACCCCAAATAGCCAAAGCAATCTTAAGAAAGAGGAAAAAAGCTGGCGGTATTATGCTCTCTGACTTCAAGCATTACTGTAAGTCTAAGTAATCAAAGCAGTATGGTACTGGCACAAGAACAGACCCATAAAGCAATGAAACGGAATAGAGAGCCCAAAAATAAACCCATTCATATATGGTCAATTAATATATGATAAAGGAGTCATGAATATACAGTAAGGAAAAGACAGTCTCTTCAATAACTGGTGTTGGGAAAACTAGACAGCTATGTGTAAGAGAATTAAATTGGATTACTGTCTAGCTCCATACAGAAAAATAAACTGGAAATGGATTAAAGACCAAATATAAGACACAAAACCATAAAACTCTTAGGGGAAAAGTTACATAAAAATCTCTTGACCATAAGCATGGTCAGTCTTTTCCTGGACACATCTCCCTGGGCAAGGGAAACAAAATCAGAAATGGACAAGTGAGAATAGCCAAGATACAGAAGCAACCCAAATGCCCATTGATAGATGACTGGATAAAGAAGATGTGGTACATATACACAATGGAATGTTATTCAGCCATAAAAAATAATGAAATCCTTCCTTATGTGACAACATGGATGGATGTAAAGGGTATTATGCTAAGTGAAATAGGCCAGGTGGAGAAAGAAATAACATGTGATATCACTTATTTGTGGAATCTTAAAACAAAACAAAACAAAATGAACAAAATAGCAGCAGACTCATGGACACAGAACTGACAGGTGATTACTATGAGGAAGGGTTTGATTGGCCAGGTGGGATGAGTAAGCAGGATCAAGGGGCACAAAAATTCTTAATCATAATGTAAGTTGGTCACAGGAAGGTAGTACAGCACAGAGAATATAGCCAATGACTGCAACAACTTCCTAGTGACAGATCTTAACCACACTAGAGGGGGGTGAGGATTTAATGATATGGACAACTGTTGAACCACTGTGGCATATACTTGAAACCAATATTGTATACCAACTATACTTGAATTTAAAGAAATGAATAAGTGGCGTTACATCAAACTAAAAAGCTTCTGTACAGCAAAGGGCACTAACAAAGGAACAAAAAGAAACCTAGGGAGAATATATTTGTAAATGACTTATCCAGTAAGAGGTTAGCATCCAAAATATATAAAGAACTCATATAACTCAACACCAGAAAAAACACCCCAATTAAAAAAAGGCCAGAAGACCTGAACAGACATTTTCCAAAGAAGGAATAAAGATGGCAAATAGGCACATAAAAAGATGCTCCACATTATTAATAATTAGGGAAATGCAAATCAAAACTATAATGATATATCAACTCACACTAGTAAGAATGGCCACTATCCAAAATACAAGAAATAACAAGTGTCAGAGAGAATGTGAAGAAAAGGGAATCCTTCTACACTGATGGTGGGAATGTAAAGTGGCACAGCCACTGTGGGAAGCAATAAGGAGGTTCTTCAAAAAACTAAAAATATAAATACCATACAACCCAGTAATTCCACTTCTAGGAATTTATCCAAAGAAAAAAAATCCTTTCTTCAAAAAGATGCATGCACCCCTGTGTTTCTTGCTGCATTGCTTACAATAGCCAAGATAATGGAAGCAACCAAAGTGTCCAGCAAAATAGATAAATGGATAAAGAAAATGTGGTATATATACACAATGGAATGTTATTCAGCCATAAAAAGAAAAGAAACCCTGCCATTTGTGACAACATTAATGGACCTAGAGGGTATTATACTAAATGAAATAGGCCAGGTGGAGAAAGACACTTACCATATGATTTCACCCATCTGCGGAATCTAAAAACAAAACAAAACAAAATGAACAAAACAGCAGTAGATTCAAAGACACTGAGAAGTGACTGGTGGTTACCATGGGGAAGGGGCTGGGGTGAGTGGATGGGGAAGATGAGGGGAATAGAGGCACAAAACTCTCAATCATAATATAATTTGGTCACAGGAATGGTAGTACAGCATGGACAATACAGCCAATGGTTCTGTAACATCTTTCTATGTTGACAGATAGTAACTGTATTAGTGGGGGGGGGGGTGAGGATTTGATCATGTACGTAACTATTGAACCACTGTCTATACTTAAAACCAATATACTATTGTGTATCAACTATCCTTCAATTTTTTTAATTACCAAAGTAAAAATAAATGAATAAAATAAAATAGAAAATCAAAAAATAGAAAAAGAAGAGAGAGACAAGCATTGAGCTTGACCCAGAAGAGGACTGATTGTGCAAAGGTGTTAATACCCAGGGACATAGGAGAAAACCAGGGGACAATCATGCTAAAAATCCAAAGCTTCAAAAAGAAGGCCATGGTCAACACAGCTGAGTACTGCTAAGATCAGGTAAAATGGGAACCAATAGGAGTGCCAGGTACCATGCCAAGTGCATACTAGTCATTCACCAAATGATGCAAATGTCAATGCAAGTTGACTAAACCCTAAGCCATAGAATATACTTCTGCTGTAGGACAGAAAGTGAAGCCCAAAGAAGAGGGTTTGATGTTCCCTTCACTGGAAATTTTTCCCTTTATGATAATCTCTTCACAGTCTGTCCAGCCCCTCATCTGTCCAGATTCTGCTAAAGCATGACATTCATTGACTAGTATTTACTGAGATTCACTGTCTCATGCACTGTTCTTAAGGTTTAAATGTATAAAATAATTTACCCTTCACAACAACCCCATGCAGAAATTAATCACTACCCCCATTTTACAGAGGAGGAAAACAAGGCACAAAGAAGATAAATTTCTTGCTCTTGGCAGAATAGAGATACAAACCCAGGCATATGGGCTCCAGAGTTTATGCTTTAATCATCTCACCATCTCTGCAAATGTCGATCTCTGTTTTCCATGCTCCCATGTTTCCTTGTGCATATATCGTTTATGAAATTTGCTATCCATTTTCATAAATGTCTAGAGCAGTATGGTGCAATAGAAATGTAATGTGAGTGACAAATGTAAGCCACATACATAATTTTAAACTTTCCATTAGCCACATTTTACAAAGCAAAAAGGAACAGGTGGAAAATAATTTTAATTATATACCTTATTGAGTCGAAGTGTGATGGTTATTTTTATGTGTGGGTATGGCTAAGATATGGCACCCAGTTGTTTGGCCAAACACCAACCCAGATGTTGCTGTGAAAATATTTTTTAGATATGATTATCATTTAAACCAGGAGATTTTAAGTAAAGCAGATTCCCCTCCATTATATGGTAGTAGGCCCCATCCAATCAGTTGAAGGCCTTAGGAGCACAGGTTGAGGTTACCCAAAGAGGAAGGAATTTTATGTCAAGACTGCAACATCAAAACCTTGTCTACATTAGTTTCCTAGGGCTGTTATAACAGAGTATCACAGACTGGGTGGCTTAAACAATAGAAATTTTTTCATAGCCTGGAAGCCACAAGTCCAAGATTAAGGTTGACAGTTTGGTTTCTACTGTCAACTTCTTGGCTTGCAGAAGGTCACCTTCTCACTGTTGTCTTTGCATCATTATTTCTTGGGGTTCATGCATTCCTGGTGTCTCTTCCTCTTCTAATGATACCAACCATATTAAATTAGGGCCCCATCCTTATGATGTCATTTAACTCTAATTTCCTCTTAAAGGCCATATCTTCAAATACAGTCACATTGAGGGTTAGAGCATCAACATGTGAATTGGTGGTGGGTGGGCAGAACAATTCAGTCCACTACACCACCTGAGCTTCCTGCATACCTAGTCTACCCTGAAGAAATAATAGTAACTATTGTAGAGATCTGTTGTGAATATCCATTGTAAAGCCCTTCCCAGAGTGCCTGGTAAAGCACAGATGCCCAATAAACATCCTTAAAATAAATCCCTCTCTCTCTCTCTCTCTCTCCTTTCTCTGTCTCTGTCTCTATCTCTTTCTCTCTCTGGCTTTCTCTGTCTACCTCTCTGTTTTTCTTTGACTATACATAGATATTGATGTTAGATTAGATAGATATAGATAGATAGATAGATAGATAGATAGATAGATAGATAGATAGATAGATAGATAGATAGATAGATAGATGGATAGACATATAGATAGATAGATAGATAGATAGATAGATAGATAGATAGATAGATAGATAGATAGATAGATAGATAGACAGATAGATATGATAGATGATGATAGATAGATGATAAATGGATATTTTAGATAGATAATAGGCAGATAAATACTGCAGGTTCTCTTTGGAAAACTATGACTTGTACGTCAGTACATGCAAGTTATTATCATTTCCGTGTGTCATCAATATAAAAATTATTAATGAGGTATTTTACATTCTTTGTAATACAGTCTTTGAATACAAGTCTTTGTAATACAAGTATAAAAGTTCTATTTTATACTTACAGTACATCTCAGTTTGGACTGGCCACATATAGCTTGTGGCTATGATATCACAGATTGTGAGTCTAGAAGAAAACATCAAGGTAAAGTGAAAAGAGGAATAGGTGTGAAGCCATAGACCTGGGATTAAACTCCACTCTGTCACTGAGGCTCCATGAATGCTAGCTATAATTTCTACTCTCTTAACTAGCGGTCCTCTCTGAGCCTAGGTGTTATCACCCGTAGATGAGAAATAATAGTAACTATTGTAGAGAGCTGTTGTGAAGATCCATTGTAAAGCCCTTCCCACCGTGCCTGGTAAAGCACAGATGCCCAATAAACATCAGGCACTTTCCCTTCCCTTATACCCTTCATATCTGTTTTCCTTGCAGACTTCATATGTTTACCTATCTTCCATCTTTAAGACAAGAGTCGTATTTGTTTCATCTTTGTTTCTCCAGCCTCATACATTTGTTAAGTGCTCAATAAATACTTGTTGGAATTGAGTGGTTTTATGTTACTGTGATAGAATATATGCACTTGTTGATTCATATTTTCCTTTAATAAATCATTCTTAAAAACATTTTGGCAGATTGTAGAGCTGTTGACATTGTAGTGGGTGGTCCAGTGGAAAGATGATTCAGGTTTGAGTTTGGGGATTTGAGGGAAGAGCCTATTCAGCTAAAGGAAATGAGGCAGCATCACAAATAAAATTAACCAGGTGAGATGTACCACAGACATCTCTGACAAAAGAGTACACCACATTTTTAAGTATAATTTTCCATTACTGAAGATAAATTAGGCAAATGTTAATGAGATGGGAAAAAAAATAGGGAATCAAAGAAAAAAATAGGGAACACATTCGTACTGAAACATGGAAAATCCAGTTTAGGTGAAAATACTTCTCCCCTGCCAGTGAGTACATGAAAGGCCTAATTCATTTAGAAAAGTAAATTTTCCGGTAATATGCCATTTTGTGAAGACACCTGATGTATTAGCCAGGGTTCTTCAGAAAAAAAGAACCAACAGAATGTATATAGACAGAGAAAGATATTTATTATAAGGAAATGGCACATATGATTATGAAGGCTGACAAGTCCCAAGACCTTCAGTCAGCAAGCTGGAGACCCAGGAGAGCTGACAGTGTAGTTTCAGCAGGCTCAAGACCCAGGAGGAGCTGATGGTTCAGTTAGAGTTTGAAAGCAAGCAAAAACTGATGCTGCAGCTGGAAGGCAGTCAGTCATAAGGAGTTCCCTATTGTGCAGAAGGGTCAGCCCTCTCCTTTACCCAAGCCTTTAACAGATTGGACCAAGCCCACCCACATGGGAGAGGGCAATCTGCTTTGCTCAGTCTGCCAATTAAAATGTTAATCCCACTCAAAGACACCCTCATAGACATACCCAGAATAATGTTTGACCAAATTTCTAGGCATCCCATGGCCCAGTTGACATATAAAATTAACCATCATATCTGATAAGGTACAATACGCCATTACAATAGATATTTCTATCAGAGCTTAATATGACAATAAAGAATTCCTTTGGCAAACCGCTCTTTTTCCTCCATGCTCTGCTTTTTCTCAGTACGTTATTTCCTTTCCTTCTTCCTTACACAAGTTGTCAGAGAAAGCACTTTGGGATGGAAATCAACATTTGTGGTGTGCTATTGTATGCCATGCATTTTACCAGGTACTCTTTCAGTCCCCGCAGAAGTGGGGAGGCTAGGAGGATGCATCAAAGTGGGACAGCCTCCAGGAAGCCTTTGCAGCCTAAACGCTGTTACTCAGACTCGTTTATTTGAAAATTGAATCTTGTCAGTGTCCCAGACTTGGCCAAACTTGGGAACTGTAACTTTTACAAAGTAGATTCAAAAGACTCCTGTACAAACCAGGAAAAAAACAAAAACAAAACAACCTTCATTAATTATAATGAGATACAACTGCCAAGAAGTCCACTAACCAAAGCATTCCTTCCTTGTAAAGTTATGTATCAGAAATCAAATTATAGTCAAAATATTGTTTAATGAATGTGATTTCAGAGTAAGTAGGGCCTATTTAAACAAGATGTTCAATGGCATTAAGCAAATAACTAATGCTACAATTTCAACAATGAGGACCAGAAAAGACAAATCTTCAGAACAAATTTCTCCTGAATATTCTGTGTCAACATGCATTTCATGGATTCTTTGTTTGCTCCTTTCATATGCCAGGCTGACCAAGTCCTTTTCTGTTTTAACAATTGATTTCCTTCAGAAATACTGAACAGTTTCCAAGTCAAGTATTACAGGTTTATAAGCTATTCTGTTCTCAGCAAAAGGACTTCCATATTTTGCTCTTAATTTTCTTAAGTTGCCAAAGAGAATCTTACTGTTTGACTTTCTTGTCATTAATATGCATTTAATCTTTATAGCAATTCTGTTCTGGCAACCTATTGCTGATTAACTATCACAAAATGTAGTGGCTTCAAACAAGAACAATTTTATTAATATCACTACTCTTCCCAACATGTTCCCACTCATACCTTCAGCTCAGGTTACTGCTATAGCTGGCATTCGGATGTTCTAATGTTTTTAAGTTGTATGTTGAATCTCTTCTGACAAGCTTTGGAAGGAGTAACTTTGATACTTTCTATTAAACAGTCTTCACAAGTATGTTGTCCCGTTGACATTTTTCATCCCTTACCACTTCTACAGTCATATCCCTCCTGTGTTCCAACTACTTAAAAATCCAAACAGTGACTAGCTAATGGGTCTCTTTGACTATTTAATCTTAAGATGTTAATGATGATTAAAAGCAGAAGGTGATACCCTGTCTTAAATACAACCATTTTCAGTGCCTTAAGCTAAAGTGGGTTATTTGACATATAAGCATCAAGCAGTATAGGTAGAAAAAAGGTTTGGTTTATGAAGGGGAGAGTTGAAGGTGAGGAATTAATTCATTTATTAGAAAACATATACTGACCACAAGGCATAAATCTCTCGTAGGAATTTCCATTTGGTGACACGCAGCCCAGGAAAGTAAATTTATACTTAATAGAAATATTTTTTAAAGCAAATTAATATTTGCAGAAGGTTTATACTCTCTGGAAAAATTCCCATTCTATAAGTAATGTTAAATAAAGAATCACAAGGCATTGAGGAATGTAGCCTTAGATCTCGTACCTCATGGTATGAAGCATTACTACATTAAGGATCTCATAAGAAATAGATCTTATTAGATTCTTGATACTTCATGGCTACTAGCATACTGAGACCACAGAAGACAATTTTTCTTGTGGTTTTCCAAAGAAAAAGATGAAGCGCAAGAATTTGCTTTTGCTGTATGACTTTCTTGTCATTAATATGTATTTAATCTTAATAGCAATTCTGTTCTGGCAATCTATTGCTGATTAACTATTAGCATTACTGTTCATTTACTCAACAAACATTTGTTGAACATTGCTATGTGCTCAGAACTGACAGCAATAAGCAGGTGTGACCCCTGCCCTAAGGAAACTTGAGGTATGAATTAAAGCCCTCAAACTTGGAATCCTGTTGGAACTTACTGTATGATAACTTCTTTCTTTCT